AGTAAGTTGTCATTCTGGTGGTTGAATACTCTGATAAAGAGAGGGAACGTGAAAGACTTGGAGGAAGAAGATTTACCCGAGCTGCGTGAAGAGGAGCGTGCAGAGACGTGTTACTCTCTCTTCGAGGAGAATCTCAATGAGCAAAAGAGGAGATTGGGAAATTCTTGCAGGTCTTCGATCTTGAAAGTGACTGTTCTTTGTGTCTGGAGAGAGGTTTTGAAATCTGGCTGCTTTGCGTTTATGAAGATTGTTGCTGTTTCGGCTGGTCCTTTGCTTCTTAATGCTTTCATTCTGGTCGCTGAAGGCAACGAGAGCTTCAGATATGAAGGGCTTGCGTTGGCTGTGTTGCTCTTCTTCTCAAAGAGTGTTGAGTCTTTGTCACAGAGACAGTGGTACTTCAGAAGTAGACTCGTCGGTTTACGCGTGAGGTCTCTTCTCACTGCGGCTATATACAAGAAACAGCTGAGGTTGAATACCTCTTCGAGGCTGATACATTCAGGCAGCGAGATTATGAACTACGCGACCGTTGATGCCTACAGAATTGGTGAGTTTCCGTATTGGTTTCACCAGCTTTGGACTACAAGCTTCCAGCTGCTCATCGCGCTTGGGATCCTCTTTCATTCCGTGGGAGTTGCTACGTTCTCAGCTCTAGCTGTGATAGTGCTTACTGTTCTGTGCAACGCTCCTATCGCGAAGCTTCAGAACAAGTTCCAAAGCGAACTCATGACCGCTCAGGACGAGCGGCTCAAGGCCTGCAACGAGTCTCTTGTCAACATGAAGGTCTTGAAGCTCTACGCTTGGGAATCGCATTTCAAGAAGGTCATCGAGAAGCTAAGGAACACAGAGTTGAAGTCTTTGAAGGCGGTTCAGATGAGAAAGGCTTACAATGCGGTTCTCTTCTGGTCATCACCGGTGTTTGTCTCTGCTGCTACTTTTGCCACTTGTTATTTCCTGAACATTCCGTTGAGAGCAAGTAACGTTTTCACGTTCGTGGCGACGCTGCGTCTGGTACAAGATCCAGTAAGAATGATCCCTGATGTGATCGGAGTGACGATTCAGGCTAAGGTTGCCTTCAGTCGCATCGCAACATTTCTAGAAGCTCCTGAGCTTCAAGGTGGGGAGAGGCGGAGAAAGAAGAGATCAGAAGGCGATGATAATGCCATTGTGATTAAATCTGCGAGCTTTTCCTGGGAGGAGAAAAGCTCAGCAAAACCAAACTTGAGAAACGTGAGTCTCGAGGTTAAGTTTGGGGAGAAAGTGGCTGTTTGTGGTGAAGTTGGCTCAGGAAAGTCGACGCTTTTAGCAGCCATTCTCGGTGAAACTCCATGTGTCTCAGGAACGGTGAGTCCTTGTTCCATCCCTTCTTTGCTTTAGATTCTGATATGATCATACTCTGTTTCTGATTTTGATTTGAATCATCATTCAACAGATCGACTTTTATGGTACGATCGCCTATGTTTCTCAAACAGCCTGGATCCAGACCGGGACAATAAGAGAAAACATACTCTTCGGAGGTGTGATGGATGAACAACATTACCGTGAGACAGTTCAAAAGTCTTGCCTGGATAAAGATCTAGAGCTCTTACCTGATGGAGACCAGACTGAGATTGGTGAGAGAGGTGTTAATCTAAGCGGAGGACAGAAACAGAGGATTCAACTCGCGCGTGCGCTTTACCAAGACGCAGACATTTATCTCCTTGATGATCCATTTAGTGCCGTTGATGCGCACACTGCTACGAGTTTGTTCAAAGTAAACACACCGAACTTCAAATTTGTGAAAAAAATTCTATTTTTGGAAATGTGGATTCTAACGACTGTCATTGCAGGAATATGTAATGGATGCTCTCGCAGGAAAAGCTGTGTTACTGGTCACGCATCAAGTGGATTTCTTGCCTGCTTTTGATTCTGTCTTGGTAATTTTCAAACATCAGAATTGTATAATTCCGTTTTATGGTCTTGGTTGCTGACTGTTGTTCCTTCTGTAGTTGATGTCAGATGGAGCAATAACTGAAGCTGATACTTACCAAGAACTCCTAGCCAGAAGCAGAGACTTTCAAGATCTCGTGAACGCTCACAGAGAAACCGCTGGCTCCGAAAGAGTGTTTGCGGTAGAGAGTCCAAGCAAACCGGTGAAGGAAATCAGCAGTGTTCCTTTGCCGCAAGCTCAATCCAAGGTCTTGAAACCGAGTCGTTTAATCAAACAGGAAGTGCGAGAGAAGGGAGACACAGGGTTGAGACCCTACATACAGTACTTGAATCAGAACAAAGGTTACATATTCTTCTTCATAGCGAGCCTAGCTCAGGTCATGTTTGCACTTGGACAGATTCTGCAGAACTCTTGGATGGCTGCAAACGTAGAGAACCCTCAAGTTAGCACTTTGAAGCTGATCTTGGTCTACTTGTTGATTGGGCTGAGCTCGGTTCTCTGCTTGTTGGTTAGATCTATCTGTGTCGTGATCATGTGCATGAAGTCTTCCACTTCGTTGTTTTCTCATCTTCTAAACTCTCTTTTTAGAGCTCCTATGTCGTTTTACGACTCCACGCCTCTTGGAAGGATTCTTAGCAGGGTAAAAGCTTATGAACTTGATGAACATTAATGTTTTTTTGTCGTCTGGTAATAAACCTTCTTTGACTGTCATTTCTTGGGGGCTTTGCAGGTCTCATCTGACTTGAGCATTGTAGATCTTGACGTTCCTTTCGGTCTGATCTTTGTGGTTGCGTCTTCAGTAAACACGGGTTTTAGTCTTGGAGTGTTAGCTTTTGTTACATGGCAAGTCTTGTTCGTATCTGTGCCCATGATTTATCTAGCATTTCGTTTACAGGTCAGGCTGTTTTTCTTCTTGAGTCCCTCTTGATAAATCATGTGTTCACTTAAAACAAGTCCCCGGTAAGAGTTTCTGTTTTTTTTGGTTTGCAGAAGTACTATTTCCAGACAGCAAAGGAACTAATGAGGATCAATGGCACAACAAAATCTTTGGTGGCGAATCATTTAGCAGAATCAGTAGCAGGAGCAATAACCATAAGGGCATTTGATGAAGAAGAGAGGTTCTTCAAGAAAAGTCTCACACTCATCGATACAAACGCCAGTCCTTTCCTCCACAGCTTCGCAGCTAACGAGTGGCTGATCCAGCGGCTTGAAACCGTCAGCGCCATTGTTCTAGCCTCCACTGCTTTCTGCATGGTTTTGCTCCCTACAGGAACATTTAGCTCCGGTGAGTTCATCACCTAAAAAGGAAATTACTTTAGATCAGGTTCATCGTTTGCTTATCAATAATGGTGTTTTTTGTTCTTGTCTTGCGACAGGGTTCATCGGTATGGCGCTATCTTACGGTTTATCTTTGAATATGGGACTTGTTTACTCCGTACAGAACCAATGCTACTTAGCTAACTGGATCATTTCGGTTGAGAGGCTTAACCAGTACACACATTTAACACCTGAGGCTCCTGAAGTTATAGAAGAGACCAGGCCACCTGTTAACTGGCCAGTCACAGGCCGAGTCGAAATCTCTGACTTGCAGGCAAGTTTGATCAATACATTTTTCACTCCCTTATTTAAGAAAATGAGAGTGTATTAATCTTAGAATGTTGATATGAATATATACAGATTAGATACAGAAGAGAATCCCCATTGGTTCTGAAAGGAATCAGCTGCACATTCGAAGGAGGGCACAAGATTGGAATTGTTGGCCGGACTGGTAGCGGAAAGACGACTCTGATCAGTGCTCTGTTCAGACTTGTTGAGCCCGTCGGAGGAAAGATTGTGGTTGACGGCGTTGACATCTCTAAGATCGGAGTTCATGATCTGAGATCACGGTTTGGGATTATACCTCAGGATCCAACTCTGTTCAATGGAACAGTGAGATATAATCTGGATCCTTTGTCTCAGCATTCAGATGCTGAGATTTGGGAGGTAAGTCAAACTATATAAAAAACACATTAGAAACTAACTGTATACATCTTATGAAGAAGTTGCTGTAATAACAAATTAACTGCAGGTTCTTGGTAAATGTCAACTGAGAGAAGTGGTTCAAGAAAAACAGAGCGGCTTAGATTCATTAGGTAACAAACAAATCACTCTCCTCGAAATATTATTATATCTAGAAATTCAGATTTTTTTTATTTTTTTTTTGCTCAAAGCTCCATTCTTGAAATTTGAAAAGGTCTTAAAATGATAAATATTGGGATCTTTTTTGGTTTAGTTGTGGAAGATGGATCGAACTGGAGCATGGGACAGAGACAGCTGTTCTGTTTAGGCAGAGCAGTTTTGAGAAGAAGCAGAGTATTGGTCCTTGACGAAGCAACAGCGTCCATAGATAACGCCACCGATTTGATACTTCAGAAAACAATCCGGCGAGAATTCGCCGATTGCACCGTCATAACCGTCGCTCACCGTATCCCCACCGTCATGGATTGTACAATGGTTCTCTCCATCAGCGACGGAAGAATTGTGGAGTATGATGAGCCGATGAAGCTGATGGAGGATGAAAACTCTTTGTTCGGAAAGCTTGTGAAAGAGTATTGGTCTCATTACCACTCGGCCGAGACTCATGTTGATTGATGATGATGACACAAAAGCTCGAGAATGTAATTTAGAACATCACAAGTTGATTATTATATATACACGTTTCAATCATAAGAGAGGATTGACAAATAAATCAAATTCATAGTACAACAACAATTCTGCTCTGCCTCTGGCTAATGTTTGACATCCTAAAAGCCAAAGACTCAAAAGATTTTGGAAGAAGCAAGAATCACAAAGATCATGAGAGACAAAACGCTTCTCAATCATTGAAAAATATTGGCTCGTAAGATTGCATCATTAGCAACGATTCAGTAACCAGCTCTTTTGATCTTTAACAGGGATGAGATTCTTCTATTACCCGATTTGTTTTCTTTTCCTCCACAGGCACGAAAAAACTCATGCATCAACGATTTAGTAAAGCATCTGTGGGTGTGAGAAGCTACTTAGCTGAGTTTCGCAGACAAGTGCAACATGTTTCCTATTCATGAGTCTTCTCAGGTTTTGTAGTGTGGTTCTCCGAGGGACCAGGCCGTTTGCTTGTGTCAGTTGATTCATCTGTGGCCTCGACAATCTCCATACTCGCTGTTCTACTCCTTCTGTTCCTCCGCTCCTGCAAAAAGAAAACATTCCTTTATTGATATATATAAGTTGCTCTGGATTTGGACCATCGCTACTTACAACTTAAGCAATCAAGTTTAGAATGAATTCCTCCAAATCCAGTGAATTATATACATACCTCGCGAAAAGGGTGGTCATCGGATTCAAGCATCCGCACAACCTGGCTCATTTTGGGTCGTTTTTCTGATTCGGGATCTACACATCTCAGGGCAACAAGAAGTGCACGTTTCAGAGCACGTGTAGCCGGTTTGGGTTCAATCTTTTGATCAACAACCTCTTCAGCTCTTCTTGTTCCGACCATCATCTTTAGCCACTCAACCAGATTCACCTGCCAATGAGAGAACCCAATGTTTCAGCACCAAATTGACATGTTCATATAACTCTTGGGTACATTCATTTAGGCTAACCTCATTAGCTGGACGTTCATAATCAACTGGATCTCTTCCAGTTATAGCCTCTAGAAGCAGGACACCAAAGCTATAGATGTCACTCTTCTCGTTTAATAGACCTGTATTAGCATATTCGGGTGCTACATACCTGATTCACATACATATGCACAGACCTTTCATTAGAATCAAGAAGACTTTTCCCATCATCCCCCAAAAAGGTACAGAATTTAGACTTACCCAAAAGTGCCCATGACTCTGGTCGTGATGTGACTCTCACCCGAGTCTAATAGCTTGGCTAATCCAAAATCGGAGAGCTTTGCATTGAATTCATCATCTATCAGGATATTACTTGCCTTTATGTCTCTGTGGACTACTTTTGGCTCTATTGCTTCATGCAGATAAGCAAGGCTATGAATTGTAGTGCAGAGCATGTCAGTATCACCTTAAAAGAGTTATATTTAAAATTTTCAAGTCAAAGATCCTACAACAGTCGGCACGTTAAAAAACTTACGCTTGCGCAGTACCGATAAGGATCTTCATGCGTGCCTCCCAAGTGAGAATGCTATGTTTTCCCATGTCTCCATGTAGCCATTGTTCTAAGTTACCACTATTCACATACTCATAAACAAGCATCCTGCATTACATCGACATAGAAACACATTCGTCAGACTAGTTTCTACTCATAGCATTAACAGTGGCGGTAGAACAAGAAATCAAACATGAGACTAAATTAGTAGCATTCAGACTTGTAAGAGGCAAGTGAAACTCACCGATGAACACCCTCTATGCAATATCCTAGAAGCCGTACAAGATTCTTGTGCCGTACATGACCAATAGCCTCAACTTCAACCCGGAATTCCTTCTCAGCCTGTCCCCTAGAGACAAAATTGTAGTAGGAATTACTAAGCGAGTAAAAAGGAAGCAAACACAGACATTTGGTAATCCCAAACAAAAACTTACAGATTGTTGAGAAGCTTCTTCACAGCAACATCGTTACCGTTGATGAGTCTACCTTTATAAACTACTCCATAACCGCCTTCCCCGATTATGTTTTCTGCAGCAAAACGATTGGTGGCTAGCTGAAGATCCCTAAGAGTAAACCAGTGTCCCCAGCCAAGATGAGATATCTCTGGCAAACCAACCAAAGGAGATGCTGTTACAAGCCCGCCCTGCGTTAGCGAAGATTGTCTCCATGCGGTTCCAAAGCTTCCTTCTTCACCGGAGTGAGAACTGCAAGCTCTCTCATGATGATGCACAGAGCTACACTGGCTTATACTATCATTGTCACTAGACTTCGTTCTTCCCAAGTAAGACATCATCTTCCCCGAGTTTCTATCACTCGATTTATCAGCAACTGTGATACTTAAACTTCCATTGTGGCTTTGAAACCCAACTCTATCATCAACGCTGATATCTTTCGCCACGCGTGGTATCTGACTGAAGGGTAACAACTTGTGAGACGGTCTCCGAGATTTTCGACGGAATACAATCCATAGAGACAAGATGCAGAGAAGCAAAACTACGAATGCGCCAATTACCAGACAAACCAATACCCAAAGTCTCACATCCGTCAAACCTAAAAATGAGATCTTCTTCGACATTTCAGCATTCAAAGGACTCTCAGATGACATCTTGAATCCTGTATCCAGTGACGAATCGTCTTCCCTTTCCCTCACAAGCTTCACAATTTCCCACCTACGAAACAAGAAAAGGTACCAAATTAAGAAGACGAAGACATCTCTCTGACTCTCACAAATCCTACAAGGAAACTATAAGGTTGTCTTTTATCTTCTTCACATGACCAAAGTAATCTGAAAACTGTGATTTTTGGACAAATGGAAGAATCTAAAAATGGCAAGTAAAGCTGCCGACTCAGAAGTCTTGATAACCACTCCGACCAGAAATGCTGACACATACATAATACAGAAGCAGGAATCAGAAAAAAAGCACGCGCAATTTCAGCAACTAATTGCGGCATATCAACAAACAAGTTATGTGCATTAAATTTCCAACATTTATCACCAAATTAAAATCGAAGAAGGGGAAAAACGAAAAAAAGGAAACCCGCCTCACAAACCATTGGGAAAAGAATCACTTACGACTGAAGCAATGACATATATTATACAGAAGAATTCACATGGAGAAAAACGTTTCAGAATCTTATTTTTACCTTATAATGTAGCGACTAAGCTCTTTCCCTTTCGATTTATCATCCGCTTAAAGCAGAAGGAAACGCAGAGGAAAAAGGTTTCGGCTTTCCTTTGATTTTGAAGCAAACGAAAGAGAAACTTAAGTAAAGGAGATGACACAATTAGGCAATAGATGGTGAATTGCAATTGGAGTTGCTCCCAAGCTTAAGCTTTTGAGCCCACCAAATAAAACCCAGAAAAAAGGAACTCGCTTTAGGTGATTCCAACAAGGAATCAGAAGAAAGGCAGCAAATTTTTAATCAGCCATTGCAAAATGGAGAGAATATAGATAGATAGATAGATAGATACACAAAAAGGATGAATGTAAGGGAGGATTAAAGAGAGATAGGCTTTGTAGATTAGGAATTAATGAAAGGGTTAAAGTGGGGGAAGGAAGTTGGGTGAGATTGTTGGTGAGTCTGTTCTAAAGCTGGAAAGAAAGCTTGATTTGCAATTTGAGGAAACAAAAACAAGAAAGAGGGAGAGAGAGAAAATGAAAAGAAAGAGAGAGCAGTGAAGGGAAAGCAAAGAAGGTGATCTTTGACAACTGTGGCATTTATAGCTGGATGAAGAAAATCATTATTTTTAATTGCAAATATTTTTATAAAAGGTAGAATTTAGATTTTAAAAATGGATTTTTTTTTTTATAAAAAAAATACAGAAGTGGATAGAGATTAAATAAGGCAAAGTACAAAAGAAGGTGTTCACTGTTCAATGTTACACTGTTGCAGGGCTTTGGAATTTTAGGTCCTTATCTTCTCATATGCCACGTTGAATGAATTCTTTTGTTTGACTACAAAATTGAAACTAAGTTCACAAAGTCTTCAAGAAATTCTACATTATTGGAGAATGTTAGAAATCTAGAATTCTTGTTTGACTTTCAAAAGTGAAACTAAGTTAACTTTTCTTTTTAAAATACCTTATTGAAGAATGCTAGAAACCAAGAATTTGGATAATGAACTTCCAAAAAATGTCTCTAGAAAACACAAGTTTAAATATAAAAATGTCTATTAAAATTGTTTTTCTTTGTATCCCCCCCATTTTTTCCGGCTATGTATCTGTATCACATTATGATTATTTTTGTTTTTATCTCTTATACAATACAGCATTTGTCACATGGAAGAAAAAGCCAAAGAAGAAGGGTATAAACAAATTTAAGTTTCATCATAATCATGTAATATCCCTCGACCCTTGGACATTTAACTGGTGTGTATCCAGCAATAAGTATAAGGTATTAATATTATAACCATCCAGATACAAGTCAAAAAGAATTATCAAGTTTTCATGATAACATACAAGGAATTTAGGGTCAATTTCAATATCCACTATATTTCTTCGCATATAGACTTTTCACCGCAATTATTGTAAAGTAGTATTAATCAAGACTAAAAGAAATCAATATTCCTATTATTAAAGACCAGATGTCAAAATCATTGTGATAACTACAACACATGAGTGATGATGAGAGTGAGGTGTCCAAGTCCAACGAAACAAAACAGCTATAATATACACCTTTTTATAGACAACTAGTAAGTAAGTATTGAACTACCGTAAACGACACCGTTCTGTAGAAGAAAGATGTGTTCCTTAGAACCCAAGAAACCAGAAAACAGAGCATGTTTTAGGGTTTTACTTGTACGAAGAAGCTGCTTTGTCTTTCCGACCAGCGAGGATCATAGAGATCTGAAGACCTCTGCTAAAAGCTTGATTGAAAAGAAGACGAGCTTGGAACTCGGAAACAATGGGGAACCAAGACAGAACAGCGATCGGTGCAAAGATTACAAGTCCCATTATCTTCTCATACGCTCTTCCCAGCTCCTTCACCGAGTCCCATATCCCTAAAGCTTTGATCGGAGACCTCAGAACTTGCCCAATCTGAGAGAGAAAAACGATCCAACAGTTGTTCGAATTAAGAGAGCATGATTCAAGTGTTGGTATTAGGGTTTCTGAAGGGTGTTTTGATGAAATATATTACCAGAAGAATCGCCCACCCGGTAGGAAGAAAAGCAAGAATTGAAGCAGAGAGATCAGTGAGTGTGAGTTGGCACACAACAAATAACACAGTCATGACCGACAAGAACCCGAGGAAGAGAAGTGCCTTAAGAATCCTGAACATTAGCTGAAAATCAGTTCCAAATCTTCTTCTGCCCATAGATACCATCTGAAATGATCAAACTAAAGTGAGTTAAGCATAAGCATTTTGATTAATGACTACACATAACCAGGAAGGACTTGTGTAACCTTTAGAACAAGCAATGATGTGAGCAAAACCACCCAAGAGAGTCCATAAACCTACAAAAGAGGAAATAAACTTAAAAGTCTGACAATATAAACTTAAAAACTTGCAAGAAAAACTGATAAAGTTTCATTACCAAAAAGCTCTTGCTCTGCTGAGAGATGTTGAGCTGGTAAACAATGCCGTACTGATAAATGAAAAAGCGAAGAGCGAGTGTGATCTCCAGAATCATCCCTCTTATATTCGTATGTTTGAGATGTTCTTGCTCCACGTTCCACCAAGATTCCCAGCTTTTATCAACTGGGATACCTATACCTCCTCGATCATTAAGCCATCTTTTCCAATCAGTCCAGTCATCAACCGTCTTTTGCCACTCAAACCCTGAAGGATTGAAAATGAACGGTGCGAACAACCAAGACCCAACCATAAACCACATCGAGACCGTGATATACAGATAAAGGTTTGAACTCCGGTACGAATGCCCGTAGACTTGATAAACCACCAGCAACACAAGCAGCTCAAGCCCCTTCACAAAGTGACTTCTCGAGTATAACCTGTAGTTCTCAGCAAACTTTGCATGAAAGACAACAAACCCACGTCCCGTTGGTCTATACTTGGAACCGCCGTGTAAAATTGTCCTCCCGTAATAATGCGACTTTGTCCCAAGCTGGAACGTAAAGAACACGGAAGCTAGCTGCAGCTGCATTATGAAGAAATCGACGATAGCAGAGCGAAACCCTTTTTCCAAGCCAATCTCCATTACCATAGGCAGCACCATCAAGAAACCCAGCTGAAATATTGACTGTGTAGCCAGAGCCTGCTCAAGAGCCTCGAGCTGATTCGGGCTTGCTTGCCGTAGGATCTCTTTCTCAGCTCCACTCATAACCATGTACATACGTCCATACAAGAATGCATAAACCGTAATCACTGTGAGCTGAAACAAACGTACATGTCAAAGCAGTTAAAGCAGGATTGAGATTAAGATTGAAAAACTAGGATATGAACTGTAAGAGCATACCATGCTACTGAAATAGAATCCGATGGTGGTAAAATAGAATGAGAGCATCCGGTAAAAGTCAAACCGATGGCCCAAACGGTAAGCATCCCGGCTTAGCGTTTGCTCCCCATTTCCATTTGCTACTTTTGCTTCAAAAATGGAGATAGGGTTCAACCCCACATCTCGCCCCTTTCCAACTTGGATATACTCATGATGGGTAACGTAACCCCCACGCAGAGTTGAATTGAACCCTACATACATTGATTAACAAATCAACAGCGGTTTTTAGTTTTTTCTTGGCATCTATAGTAGCTTAATGATTAAACATTCAGAGAAAAAAAGATTCATTTACCTCCGAAAATGTCCTCACTCAAATTTATTACTTTGGAAGCCTTGCTCACACCACCTCTTGTTATGTGAAAGATTCTGTCAAATATGTCAGGATGGCCGTAATGGAAACGGACCCTGCACCGATGAAGGAACAATGACTTATTAAACAAGTAAATCAATATTTACAAATTTCTAGAAGCAATATTTCTTGATAGAACAGTAAATGGAAAAATAAATAAGTCCTGAAGAAAATACCTCAGAGGATTTGCCAATATTCTTTGGCCAATTGTCACAAAACTACTCTCTTGATTGGACATGAACCAAGCTAATGACGATACACTATACCAAGAAAGGGACACACAAAGTAAGAAACACAATGTTTTACAGACTGATATCTTGCAAAAGCGGGTGTACCTTCCGGTAAATATATGTTCTCGGAGACCCAAAATGGTTGGTTTGCGTCTGCCAACACGCTCCTTGTTAAATTCCTCCAACACATTTCTCAATTTGAAAGCTTCTTCAAAGTAGTTGTCCTGCACAGAGACTAACCATGAGGATATCATACTCAAATCTACAGTTAACGAGAATGAAGAACCATTACATACTTGATTCATATCTATAGTTTGCAACGCTTCACCACGTGTAAAGATGATAGCATGGTTTTGATTTTCAGGCTTTCCTTCACCAATCTCAGCTGGAGGACCAGGAAGCTTGATGCGGTAGATTTCCTAATTTTATGATGCAAAGACTATTCACGTTAAGAAGAATGACATGTTTACAAACCTAACCAGCATAATGAATAATAACTGTACCTCATCAAACTTGTTGCCTCCTTTGAGAAGTACAGAGTAAAAGACCTTAGGAGATTTTGCATCTGCTGTCTCCTCCCTCTCATCTACATAAGCAACCCGTAATGATGGATATCTACAAAATTGTCACGGTTAGAGCAAAAGGATCAAAGATAACTTCCACTCGAAATGTATGCAAAATTTATCATACTTGAGCATGAGCTGCAAAATATTCGTGTAGCAGCTCCGGTTGTGGATATCACCGGACTTTTTCTGATTTCCGTAAACCTGACAAGAGACAACGTAAGTGAACTTCAGATCCGCAAGAGCTTTAGCACGTTCCAGGAAAGCCTTCTGATCATCATCATTTGATGCCATGGCTTGATAGACACTGAACTTGGCTGCAACAAGAAGCAAATTAGTAAATAACATAATCTCAGGTTCTGGCTCCAAGAGCTTTGATAGGTGCACTTAGAAAGTACAAACCGTTTTCCCCTGCAACTTCTTGGTAGCATTGAAGCTCCAGAGCCTGCCTATAGTACATCATACCCCTAACTGGCACAAGTAATCAGAGAGACACATATAGATGAATATGCATATAAACAAAGGTATCATACTCATGATTTACTACATTGTAAGCATTTGTACCTGTCCTGGCTAGCGTCTGACCTCTGTAAGATACCCACTCTCGAAGAAACTCAGACTTATCTTTCTCAGGAAGCTTAGGATCCTTTACTCGATCCAAAAAGTTGGTCCACTCGTCTAGTTCACGTAAGATCAATTCAGTAAACTTGAATTTCTAAGAAATAAAGAGTGCTGGTTTTGTCAAGAATCAAGAATGTACCAGGGTAAATCTTTTGTAGGTAGAACAGTATTGAGATCCCATCTTCATTCTCCTTGTTAAGCTCCTCCTCTGAATATAGAACATCTTCTTTGTAATAAGGAGTTAAAACACTGAACATGAACAAAAACAGTTTGGTTAAAGTTCAGATACATAAAGAACTGATATTAACAGCTAATCACATTATATATATATATATATATATATGAAAAGACATTCCATAGCAGATTGGGAATTTCACCTGAACGAGATCATATCTCGTATTCTTGGAGCATTAGGCATATTCATAAACAGAGAATTAGCAAAGAATGTGATACGGCGGCGAGCTTCCAAGTTTTGAGGAACATTTATGGCAGATTCTTTGACCGACAGGAGCAAATGAAGCCGAACAACCTACAATATAAGAGTCAGTTATATCTATCTTGCAACAAGTTCGCATGAAGAGTGTGTATTAATTTGCTGGACAATTACCTTCTCCCTCCAGCATTTATCTTCTATGAGGTGTATATTAATTTTCTCAAACCTCTGTTCCTTTTTCTCATTCTTGATGTCAGGAGAATGAACACGAGCCCTTTCAAGAATTCTACAACAATAATCAAATGAGAAGAGATCATACACTACATATGATGACATATGTTCATAGAATTGCATATTTGCTCTGTACTTACTCATGGCCATTAACCAAGAGATCTTGAGTGATAATCTCGATAACATCCTGGAAGACATTAATTAACTGAGACTTGTATGTTCCCTGATCTTCATAGTCACTTAACTGTTTACATATTGAGAACATAATTAGTTCCAGTGTAAAGCCTAATGTAGTGAATGAGTGCAACACATATTGTAACATTACCAATATACTTAGAAACTTCTCCAGCTTATCACTAAGTAGCGGTAAGCCACTCATCCGGAAATCATATATAAATGTCTGTTGCTGTATGCTCATGTCCACTTCTGAAAATACCTGATTCATGGCCCTAATTCAAAAAGAGAGAATCCCATGAAGCGAGGCTCATTCAAGTTGCATATATGATAGGGAACTTTCATTCACCATTGGAAGAATAGAAATAAAGCTGGTATATATATACCTTCTATCTGCTTCATCTTCAAGTAGAGCAGAAATGATTTTCTTCAATGTCTCATAACTCTCAATAACAGCAAAATGCATGTAGATATCACTCTTAATCTTTCTGAATAGTTCAGCATCCTCTTTTCCCCTGAAATCTTTTGCCATGTCCACAGCAATGGGAATCTACAGTGTAACAAATTTTGGTTGAGTTCAAAATCTCTAAAAATCGGCATATATTATTGGGATAGAGATTAAAAACCAATTAATTGTTACCTTACTAGCAAGCAAGAAAGGTGGCCACTGGATGACAGATACATCATACGAAGAAGATGGTACAAGCAGCAAATCTCTATCTCTAAGGTACAGCACAACATAGGAAACGTTACATGAGAATACATGCTTGCTGCACTAAAACAACAGGACAATCGTTGACAAGTGTGTTTGTTTCTGAAAGATGAGAGTCCAAACCTGTCACTGATCTTATCCTCGCTTCTCATAGAGATAATGAACTCGTTCCACACCTGTGAGAAGTTGGTGATGTTTTTCTGGTCCACATAGTCATCCTATAGTTCCACATAGAGAATCCATCAATGATACAAGTATTAAATTACCTATATGTAAATTTGAGTAAGTACAGTGAATTACTATATAACCAAACACAGTACCGCATGTTTTCTTTTTGCAACTTCTGATGGCATGAGGGTGCGGCTGAAGGCAATTGGTATTGACTCAAATCTAGACCGTAACATCCCAAGAGTTCGTATCTATCAAAACCCAAACGTGTAAAGATTACTAAAACCAAACAGTTAACTGAATACTATCAATTTCTAGAGTGTAAGATATGACTTACTTCCCCCAAATGACTAAAGGCCCCATGTATGCCTCCAAACAGAGTGGAAAAAATGGCGTACCATATTTGAGTATCCATCAGGTAAACCTTAACACACGCAAATATGTAAACCATATTTATATAACATCATTCGTTTCTTTCTTGGGAGATTTTTTAATCTCTACTTACCAGTACAATTGGAGACCATACAGCAACCACCACTCCAATATTGTTACTTGCTATATAGAATCACAAATTTGTTAAGGCAAGCATAATGAAATGTACCTTGCAACAAGAAAGAAATGTAACCTGAAAACTTACCATGTGGAAAAAACTCATGCCACTGGTATCTATCAATGTGAAAATTCATTATCATCTTTGTTGGCGTTATAAGGGGCAGTATCTATTTGCAAGATATAATGATAAGTCATCAAAAATTACTCAAGGGCACAATGTGAATAATAATTACAAGCAAGACAGATTGAAGTAGAAATCAAGACCTCCACATAATAGTTGAAAGCAAGCTTGCTGATCAGTAGCATAATCCAGAAGAAGGTATACCTGAGCATTATGAGTTGAGCTAGATGAGAACAGGCTATGTATAGGAGCTAAAAACAATATTTATGAAGTTAGATAATGATAACATGAAATGTGATGATCACTCACTTGAAGAGAGAGAGCATGTCCTCATGCATACCTCTTCCAACATATAGTTTTGGCTACAAGAATCATAAAGAAACAAAGATTACAAAAAGAAAAACAAAAGTGAAAACCAGTATACTAAAGAATCACAAGGATAATGATTAAGGTACTTGCCTGAGCCCACCACATGAAGAGCTTGACAATGCGCATGTCTGAACACTCCATGATTCTCCGGAATGGTGGAACGAGGAACAAGAAAGCAGCGAGCATGTTTGGTAACACGTAGAGTGAAACAGTGTATGTATAAAAAGACTTGTCCTTCCAGTCACCAGTCCAAGTGCTGAAGAACTTTACAACTCCACTAGGGCGTTGCACTGACTTTGCGTAAGCAATTGGAAGAAGCACCGCCCACATTGCCGCTACTGCGAATTTCATAATGTACCGCAGTTTCTGAGAAAACTTGAAATTCTTCCACGCATTGAAATTGAGGATAATGTCCAGTGCAGCTATAAGAGGACAAGGAACTCTCTCCATTAGAACATCAAATAAGGAAAACCACTCTTCCTTGGGAAACAAGAAAACTACTATGTTGAAATCACCAACCTTGTAAAAGAGTCAGATACGCTGATGTAATAAAAATGGTTAACACTTTTTTGAAGACATTCTTCTCAAAAATATCACCCAGGGATCCAGAGCCATTCCATCCAACTATTACCATAGCCTACAAAAAGATAAGGACAAATCTGATCATTAGAGAAAGAAAATTTGATTTCCAGACCAATCAATCTTTTAAGAGACTAACTTTACCTGAAAAGCCATGACAAAGAATATCCACATTCGATCAAAATCTCTGAAGAGGTTCCAGAATGTGCGCACTTCAACAAAGTTGGTCTTAGGCTTTCTTTTTGCGTAAGTGACTTGATTCAGCCTCTGCAATAACATTAGACATACACCAATCAATGTTTCTGTAGTATCTCAATATGGAAGTGTTACATAGAGACTGGAATGTTCATATTGCTGCTGTATCATAATTTGGGATTGATATATGTGAGCTTGCTACAACTGATAGAACACACTGAATAAAATGGAAAGTACCTCGTTCTGTGGTGTTACCTCGTCAGAGCTAAGGAAAAAGTCTGCCTTAAGGTCAAGAGGCCATCCTATCTTGAAGCATTTTTTAGACCTTCAAACAAATATTGATGTTGGTAACCAGAAAACATGATCAAACAAACATGTCTTTAGATACTCACCAAAAGTATTCATTCAAATCGTCGTAGTTTCTCCATTGTGAATGGCTTGCTGTGCCACCATTGTTCCTTCTGGCTTCCTTCAAGGTAATTACAATCATTTGTTCAGTCAAAAGAAAATGTACATTTCTTGATAACATGAGTGACCAATTGATATGCTTACCTTGCGTATGACTTGATAGATGGGAGTTATAACGTTTCTCAGAAACGATTCATCATCAATAATTTCTTCTGTTTCATATGTCTCACCACTTACAGCTTCAACATTGCTATACAGAATCCCATAGACGTCATTTGCCATCTTATGAACAAACAAAAAAACAGAGAAGAAAAGCTTTTTCAAGCAATCCAGAATCTGAAGAAAGCTATGCAGAGTGTCTAATTCTAAAGCTGAGAGAACTTACATGGTGAAAGATATAGCAGATACATTCGGGCATAAACCTAACATTTGAGGCTTCACCCCATATCAAAAGGTACAGTGATATATAGATAAGACGCAGCTGCTGTTTATCACATTCTTCTGGAAACCTTTTAAAGAACCCAAGTTGAAGCATCCAACATCAGATTATGTGACCAAAGGACAGAAGATGATGCAATAAAATCATAAAGTCACATAAATACAGATCAAGAATCTTAACATACCTGAGATTAGGCTTACAGTGCAAATACTTACACCACGAGTAATAGTTCTTACAAGTTTTGTCCATCAACTCGGTGACTGTGCTAGGTTCCAACTGCAAGAAACTTACATCATTACTCACGGATCGATAAGGAGGTCACAAGAAGATGTATGTGTAGGAGACAAAATCGAAAGCATCCCCTTATAGAAACAATGCTCACATCAACATATTCTTCATCAGTTCTGTTTCTAATATCAGCATTAGCAAGAAGAAGTATTATGTGCTCCCTCTGATTTGCCACGTTCCCTCTCTATAATCACCACATGAAGCGAAACAACAACGACTATGCATAAGAAAAGGAATTGCAAGAACATAAAAATAAAAAATCGTCTGAAGATGTGGTGAAAGTAGAATACCTGAAACCCGAATTCAGAAGCAAGCCATTCAAGAATATCACTGAAACTCCTAGTTCTAGCCTTGCGCAGTTCATCAGGGGCATTAGATGGCAAGTGAACTCTTCTCCGAGGAAGATTATGCACATTGCGAACAGCACTGAACGCAGCCTTGACCTATTTGACACGGTACATAGTATAAAAATGAAAAGGGTGTATAAATATACCATACTAATGTTAATGTCGTAGCAGTGATTGACTCAAACGCACCTCAGGAAGCTCAACAATCGCTGGTTTAGTCCCAACGGCATATAAAGGAAGAATGTTGTAGTGCTCATATCTATCCCTTTTCATTTCCACTTCTTCAGCATATCTACGGGTCTAAAATGAACAGAGGAAAAGAAAAAAAACAAGCATATGGCAAGTGTGAGGCTTCAACATAGAAATCTCTAATCATAACAACTCCTTATATAAAATCAAACCTCAAAATCCACTTTTGGAGAGGGTACAACAGTCTTGAGTACATCATACAGTACCGAGGCAATTTGATAAAGCCTGGCCATCTCCTCCCTTTAAAGAAATAAAATGAAAAAAACATAAGAGTAGGTCTCGCTTAATGTCAGCTTATTGGGATCTTTGTGCTGAGTGCACTCACGGTTTTCTTGAGGTTTCTCCTTCTTTAATATATTTCTGATAGAAGTTCTGGTAATACTTCTGAATCTCTCTAGGGTCGTTTTTGGCAAGCTGAGGCTTTGTTTCCTCTTCTTCCTATAAAACATATATATAGGGACGCTTCAGCTCCTAAAGTGGAAATCTCTTTACCTTCATCACCAAGAAAGTGTCTATATATATATATACCTTCTCCAGTCTATGTAGCAGATAGGTCTTAAACTGACGAACACCTCGCCCACTAGATGTAGCATCCATCCTATGAGCCTTCTCAAAAGCATGAAACCGGCCTGTTAAACCAAACTCAGTTCAAATGATTGTAGCTTAGCAGAATCTCAATAGTGAATCTCATCAAGAAATAGAAAAAAAAAACAAATGAAAAAAGAATCAAACCCACAGAGATAAGCGACTCGAGGATTATCCTTCTCGATTTCGTTAGCAACGCGAAGAATGGGAGCAATAGAAGCGAGGGACGAAGGAACAAGCTCGCTGTCCATGGCGCTTGCATCTTCGTTTGGTCTATCGATCATCATAGTGGTCGCACGCGACGGAGCTGTCCTCCGTGAGAGAGACCGTGGCAACTCCGCCGTTCCACTCGAGCTAGCTTCCATGGCCGTCGTAAATCGAAACCACTACTACTACTCCCCAATGCAATTAATTTCTTCGGTCAAGTCAAGGATTTCGCTGAAAACAGAGCAACCGATTAACATATTAAGATAATTGATCTCCTTTTGTGCTCACTTTATAGGTAACAAACACAAAAGAAAAGAAGATCGATAAAGACAGAAAAAAGGGTTTTCTTCGAGAGATTGGTTTATTTTATATCTTATATATTTCTGCTTTCTGGCTTTTTCCGTCTAAGCTTTTTCATCTTTTTTCCCTCGCTTTTTTTTTTTGCTTTTTGTTCTAGGCATAGTACGAAACTCTCTAAAGTCTTTTGCTTAGCGAGGAAGGTGACAGTGGAGGAAGACGAAAAACACGAAACTGACAACAAAATATCCAAAAAGGTCACAACGGCTATTTAAGGACTTGCTATATTTGCTTTCTACCCAACTCGCCAATTTCACGCTTAATATCCTCAAATACGGCACCGTCTTTTTCCCTCATCTCACAGATAAAAAAAATGCGCGAAAAATATTCGAAGAGGGAAATAGATACGGCACCGTTTAATTGTTAAAAAGACGCTGTTTAGAAATTTGATCTTCCTAAGTAGTAGTAGTAATTAGTTAGTAAGAACACATATAATATATCCACAAAGTCATTAACACATCTAAAAACTGCAATCAAAGAAAATATTTACAGAGCTTTTCTTTCTCGGAATCAACCTCCATTCTATCTTATTAACAAATTGTTGTCTTCGAAGGCGACCCACACCACATACGAGCTTGTTTCCACTTTCATTTCACTCCATCACGACACACCCTATTGGGCCTAGAGCCCATTATGCAACTCCCACGACGGTTTTTTTCCCCGGTAAAAAAAAAGACAAGAACATTGGCGGGTTTTCGCTTCAGGCTAATCGCTATGATGTTCATTTTGGGTGGGGTCATATAGGACTTGCCTTAGAAACCTGCACCACCGAGTCCAAACCAAAAACATGTTGAGTATCCTCCCTAACTAAGAAATGACTTCCTACAGGGCCTGCCTTAACTCAACATGTCAGTTGCACGCGAGCTTACTACAAAACTCCTTTTGTCGTGTCTGAAATGAGTTTGCTAGATTTGGATGTTAAGCAAAGAGAGTTTGTGTACCTGATTTTTCGAAACGGTGGTGGAGGTCCACTGCTGTCTTTCATCAGTTTCATAGTTGACATAAGTAATTCTGCTGGCTTCTTCTTGTCTACTCGCAACGTTTTGTGGTGGTAACTCCCGCAATACCCATAAAACGAACGCCAATGGTACGGTGGAACCTGTCATAAACCGGTTCTTATCAGTGATAATTCTACATTTGAGGTAAAAAGAACCGCAAACGAAAGAAAAACAATCTTACTCTTTACCTATGAAATAGTATATGATCAGCAGAACCAATGCCTTGATGCCGTGTAATTTGCTTGGGTTCCAATGATAAAAGAGCTGAGATCAGAATATTTCGTTTTTGGTTAAGCATTATTTACAAATGTTTGATTTTTGGTTTAATAATCTACTTTTTGGAAAACAATGTCTTACCGGAATGTGTGTGAGAAAAGCGATTAAAGAGCTCACGGTGAAGCAAACAACTGAGACGCCTGCTAAACCCGATACCTATAAATGGTCAAAAATGCAATTTCAGTGTCAGGATCTGACTGACATGTGCAAGGAAACAAAACCAACTTCAGGAGCCAATAAGAGTATCATTAGTTTACCTTTCGCATCTCTGACGAAACTTGTTCAGACCGCACCTTCCTTAGATTAAAGAGCAGACGCAGGCCTAAAGAACGAGAAAGAGTTTGTGAATATACGGTGAAATTGAATAGAAGATCATAGCAATAAGCCTGTTAACCACTGACCAAAGCATCTTCAAGAAAAATTCGAATAGCTTAAACCAGAAAAGAACAGAAGCAATCACTCACCATAGAAGCATATTCCTCCTCCCGTGATTAGGATTATTGCAGCAAAAATATCGACATACACCTACACAAGGAAGTAACAGGCTAAGTATTTTTACACATATACCATTGATATCTTTACGATAAAGAGAATGTATAGAGATAGTTTAAGGAATACCACATACCTCAGCCAATAGTGAAGAATCGGTAGAACTCTTTCCGGAAGCAATCCATATAAGGATTGCAAATGATATCATTAAGATGAACACAAGAACAACCGCCTACGCAAAAAAAAAAAGATAGATACTTGTAAAGATCACACGAATGGCTTGGCTAGTGGTTGATTTCAGAGAAAAAAACGAGAATGTATCTCATACCGCAACAACAAACTTCTGCCGGGTGCCAACATGAATGCCATGGAAAGAGCAACACTTTCTGCGATCACTCGCACTCGACGAACCTGACTTGCTCTTGCTTTTCTCAAGCAACACTTGCTGGATGCTGTTCTCTTCTTCATCATCATCCTCCTCCTCTCCATTTCCCTGATGGCAAACATCTACCCTATAACATTAAAAAAAAGTATCCATTTTTTGCTTATTTTTTTTTTAATCTGTATACAAGCATTACATAACTACGACCAGGTTTTACTTAGAAAGCATTGGAAAATATACGTACCAGAAAGAGAGAAGCAGGAGAAAAGTTGCAAGAAACAGAATTTTGGGAAACGCTGCAAGTACGAATTCAGTTCATCAGCGACTAAGCCTAAAGGAGAAGTCAAATGAAAAAAAAAATCATAGACAAAAGACTTAACAAGGGAAGAGAATTTTCACCCATAAGTAGAAAACCGAATGCGTTGGACCAGTGATGCCACCTCGTGCAAGTTGCTATAATCGCAGCCACGAAATAAACGAAAGAACCTGCCAACAGATACAATAGAGATCTTATTCACAATTGCTCCACACTCAGAAAAAAAAATACAATTTTTACTTATTTATCTCTGTTGAGGAATGTCCTGAGGAATTTACCAGTGTTTGAAGAGCCAATCATAAGATGAAGCACCTGCATTATTATTTCATTGATGGATGTGTCAGATACACACACCATGAGAAGTAACAAGAACTTATCTCTAACTATATAAAAATATCATAGAACATAAACTGGGATTGATAAGAAACAGAGAAATCAGAAGAATTTTACTTTTTGCCGCGTCCATCCAACTCGTTTGTCCCGCCTGTGAAATCGAGTTAACTGAAAGCAGTAGGCAGCCAAGATATATCTTATAAGCCCAAACCAACAAAAAAGAGAATAAGACTTTTTCTTTATTTACTTTCAATGTCTAACTAAAACTACTTAGGAGCTACATGAGAGAGAGATATCTTAATCTACACTCTTGGCACTTTTTTGAAAATAAAGGATTCTACTTTCTACTGAAAATTCGTATCGGATTCAGATTCCCTGAATCAAATCTATGATTCCACACAAACACACTCTCGCTCCGTGAGTTAATTTCAAGAGTTGACCTGAAACTTAAAAGGTCAACCACATCAACAACAAGAGACACAGCTCTAAAGACTAGAACCACCCAATCCATTATTCAACACCAAAAATTCAATAACCCCACATCTTATCGCGTCTTAAGAATACGAAACTCAGCACAATGTTTCACTTTCCGAACAGACCTAAACGGTCTCACGAAATCTAACATTCAGAAAATCAAATCGGATTTCCAGGAAAACAACAGAAGTGAAACCTATGAAATAAATAAAAAAAATTAGAATCGGAATTCTGAGAAGAAGAGAGAACCTGAAGGAATGCGATGAAAGCGAGAGCGCCATCGATTAAAGCCAGAGAGAGATTGACGGCGATGAAGCTTGGAGCATAGCATTTATCCGTCTTCGATTCGAGAAGCGTTGCTGCGACGATCTTCATCACGAATCCTCTCTTTCTCGATCCTCCCTGAGATCGGAATGCCGAAATTTTAGGTTTGTAGAGAGAGAGGATCAAAGAACACCGAGACAGATGGTTGTAAGGGATGGGTTGGGTTGGGTCTGGTCTGAACAAAGAAATTAATATATCACATATTTTTCTGCAAAAAAATTCAATAAATTCAATAAATTTACTTTAAAATGCTATATGTGGTACAGCGCAGGAGGACTCTCACACAAAAGGAGAAATCAATTTATGTTCGGACTCTCACTTTTTGGATTTGTAAATCTTCAGACTTAAATATTCATTATGTTGACAAAAAAAAAATCATTATATTTTTCCTTTTATTTATCATTTATATTTAAATGCTTGCAAACAATTGTTATATTCCAAATTTTCAAACTAAACGAATAACTTATTAATTATCACATTTCCGGTATTTTTATAATAATTACGTCTACTATCAATTTAACTTCATGGAGTGGAACCTCATTAAAGGATCTCTAAACATATATTTTACAATTATAATATACTATGTAATTACTGTTTTATTCAGTAAAAGTAGGTGATTAGGGAGGATAAATGAAAACCTAAGAAACGTATTTTTAATTATGAATGTAATCAATATCTATTACTAATAAATTATTTAATTAAGATGAAATATGGCATGAATATTAGAATTATCAGATTCATCATCAAGATTATTTTCTTTTTAATAAAGTTTTGAAAAGTGATGGTCTACTAATTGAGTTTATTATGCTAATTAAGTCAAACCTTGATTTAGGAAATTGTAGTTAAGATGAAACTGAAGGAAAAAGGGAAAAACTAGAAATTTACGGAGAAGACAAAAGTCAGAACGAAGGCACTGTTGAATCGATTGAGTTTCTTTCTTCTCGGGTTATCTTTCAGTCTTCTTCTCCAATAACACTCGCACCCAAATTTTAATCGGAGCGAGAGTGGCGTCACAGAGAATATTCCTTCTCCAAGCTTTCTCAGGTAATGCGGTTTCTGTTGTTCTACTTGTGTCTTTGCGACACGACCTGAAGCTTCTTTTACTTTCCAGTTTGGTATCATCGTTGTCTCTACCTAACCTAGATAGTTGGATTTCAGTCTTAACAGGTCTTTGAACGAACTTATGTGTGCAAAGAGAGAGCACACAACTTCATTTGCTTGCCTCGATTTCAGTGACGGTGGCTTGAAGGAGACTCACAATCCGCAAATCAATTGGATCAACAAAGACAACGACTTCACCCATAACATTAGGTAAAGTTTTTTAAAAGCATTTAGGGATATTTAATTTGGTGATTGTAGAGATTACCATAGTAACTGATTACTTCGTGAATATGCATATAGCAAGCAAGATTAACACACTTGTATTCAAAAAATGAAGTTGTATAAGTACATTGGTTCGATATGATCTTAGTTCTACAGCAATACGTCTTTGAAGGAATATCCTAAAGAATGAAAAAAAATATAAAGGAAAAAAGAATCTGTTATTCTTGTTGTTGCCTTTCTGTGTACAGTTGCTTTAATGGGCTTAAACCTGTATATAAAGCCGACAATGAAGGTTATATATCTGCACACTTGGTGGGTGCATAGCCGAGCCTGGACCTCTTTGTATCATAGAGTATATGAAAATTCTGCTGCTGGTAGTTTCCAATGATGGAAAATGCTGATTTTGGAGTTCCTAGAATCGCCAAGCAAACCAAATCCTGGTCCAGCCAGATGAAAGAATTCTCCGTCGGGAAGTTCCAAACGGCGCCATCTTCGAAAGCAATCCCAAGCTCAGGGAGCTGAACGTTTTCGATGCCAGAGACGTTGAAGCAAGGATCTAGGATCGGGAAATCTCTGTAGACAGGGTACTTCCCTTTCACTTTCTCAGCGATCTTGTCTTTGATGGTCTCGTACGCTGGTTCCGCGAAGTAACTCAAGGTTGTGCCCGAATCAATGATTGTCCCTCCAGCACCATCCGACGAGATGTTCCATGTTCCTTCAGGTATGTTTAGAGCTTCCCCGGCGACGAGAATGGATTTGATCTGTACGTAGTAAAATGTGTCGACGAGGTTTTCTCTCCCGGCGACGAAAGAAGTGAAGTTCAGATTCGGGTGGCTCAGCAAATCCTTGTCCTCGCCGAAGATCAACTTGCTGCTAACGTTTGCGTCGCTGTTTCTGTCGACGAGGCAGTAAGAGAAGGAGTGGCCGTAAAGAGACTGGAGCTGAGAGGAAAACGAAAGCGGTCCTCTTCCTAACCCAAGCAGCCCTGCGGCACCATGGAAGAGACCTCTGTTCCAGTGACCACAACCGAACATCATGTTTTCGACTTTATACAGTTCCGAGTTTCCTCCGTTTGTCGTGAGATTAACCGTGAAAGTCTCGACTGCAAAATCTCCTGTGGTGTTGGAGCTGTCCCCATACCAGTAGTAATAAGGGCATGATTGGCTATCTGAATTGCAGGGCTTTGGAGGGTCGGGTGGTGAGACTAGGTTGCATCTTGGGTCGTTGCAAGTTATGTTCTTGAAGGAAGCAGAGGCTGTAGGGTCATAAAACGCTCCGTTTTGCTGGAAACAGTCGTAGCAAGGCAAGCACTGGATCCAGTTTAGGTCACTCCCTGTGTCAAGAATCAAGGAGAAGTGTTTTGGTGGTGAACCAACCAGCACGTCCATGAAGTACTCGCCTGAACCGAGAGTCATACCGGACTCAAGTGTCGCCACCAATTGACCAGGAGGAGAAGCCACCGGAGAGGTAACCACTTCCTTCTTCTTGTTCTGTTTCTGCAGAGTGTTTTGGTTCTTCTTCTCCAAGACCTTTTTGTGGAGCGTCTGGATTCTAGTGAGATCTCGGATTTGGAGCTCAAGAACTGAATTTGTTGTTGTTGTTGTCTTCTCTGTTTCTTGCTTGTTCGTCGGTTGTCGGCGCTTTAGATGAAACTTCACGGTCTTGTTTTCTCCCGTCACTTCCTTGGCGGGTTCGTTCTCCGGCGAAGAGAAACCGCAATCGTTGCTTGTGGAAGAAGAAACGGAACCGAAGCGCATCGGATTCGGAAAGTCAAACCCAGAGAAGCCCGAGATGTTCTTCTGCTCATTGTTTCCGGCGAGAGCTCTGGAGTCGCCGGAAAATGCTGTGACGAAAAAGAATATAAGACAAAGAATGAAACTATACTTGGACAACATCAGGAGATAAGTCTGGGAAAGAAAACGAGAAATCGCCGGCAATGATCAAGCTCGGAATCGCCGGGAAAGGAAAGTAAGATGAAATGAAAAAAGTGCAGACGCAGAAGTTGTAATTCTATTGGATGAAAATAAAATAAAATAAAAACTTTGGGGAGAGTTATTAAGTTTCGATTGTAAGGATTTGATAATGAAGCAATAGAGGAGGAAATGAGCTAAAGAACAGTAAGGAGGAGATCTGGTGAAGTCAGATTACTGAAAAAAGATAAAATAAAATAATTGTTGATAATTGTTGACCAAAGTCGTCTTCTTCTTCACGCGGTTTCATACCAAGAACCAAACATTTAGGGAAAACAAAATGACGGTAACAATTGAATAAATGGAGTTTGTGGAATGGTTCTACGAACAAATCATACAGTGTTTATTAAAAAGGTTTAATCTCTGAAAACAAAAATTCCACTCGTTATAAAAATGTTTGGGAAAGAAAAACACAAACCACTAGAAATATGAATACTCATATTTTGTTGTCTACTAGCTAATTGTCTCTTTTACTTAAACTGTATCGCAAAAACAATTTTGAGTGGGGATACTGAGACACCATTCAAAATCTTTGCAAAGACCCAAACACTAAAAAGTATAAGTTTGATTTTAATAATAATGACAAATCTATTGAGAAATTAGTTGTTTGTTTGACCACCAAACCAAACAATGATCTACCCACCTTTTTATAACGCATGTTAAAACAGATTCAACCTCGTGACACTATAATATAGTCGCAAATAACGCATTATCAAAATGGATACTTGTCAATTCAATTTTGACCGGTATTAACTAATAACAGTACTATTCAATTTAAGATCAATTTTAAATTAAGTAGTTTTGTATAGTTGACGGCAAGAGATGAGTCCTTACGTTTTCTGTTAAGCTGTTTGACTTTGACCAACCAAACAAATGTTTACTTACAATAACTAACATATAAGTATAGGATTTAGGAGGTGCTAAATCGTATAAATAAATTAAAAAAATATATAACTTAGCTACTACAAAAAAAATCATGAACAAATAAAAAATCTCAAATCTTTATCACTAATCAGTGGAATAAGGGAATGACTCAACCGAAATTCAATGTCACTAAAAAAACATTATTCGATTAATGATACGACTAATTACTGATCAAAGCTTAAATCTACTATAAACATTTAATTAATTCAACAATCACTGGAAACGTATGAAGTTAGAAGTTGACCGGAGGAAAAGTTGATACTTTTCAGTGTAAATCTATTCCAAGTCAACAAAAACAAAACAAAATGATTTGATTTGATTTTGACTTTCCTCATTCATCAAATTTTACTGGATGACATAAAAGATTATAGTTTTATTATGTATATGTTTTTACTTACAGATTTTTTTTTTTACAATATCAGTATTCTAAATAGTATATTCTAGGGTTTATCCAAAAAAATCTGTCACGGATCAAATTTACAAGTTAATTTTATAGCTCTAAAAAATGTATGTCAACTTTTCACCAAAAATTCAACACGAAATAATCCTTGAAAATAACATACATCTCGATTACAGAAGACAAAATGCATTTTTTTTCTTTTGTAAAAAACAACACACATAAGACAACATTTTAAAATGCTTGTGCCCAATACTGCCGAGAAAACTTCCGGTCATTTCTCAATCCCTAATTACACTTGGAAGTGGATCATAGATATATATATATATGAGGCAATAGGGCAAAACTTTCTGGTACACGAAAGATTAGAACCTCTTGATTTTATTCGCTCTGTCACAGAAGATTAAGCTTAGAACATCAACATCGTGTCTCTGTCTTCAAGAGACGCTTTCGTCTTTTTGTGCTTTCTGCTCATCCTGAGTCCACTCTTTACAACAGCAACAACAAATCAAGGACTCGATGCGAAATTCACAGCTTCAACAACGGAAAACGTTTTCGTTTTTGCACGGATCTTCCGGTGTACACTTTAGTTATGTTCGAGAAACCGGAGTTCTTGAAGTTGCATACCGACATGCCAATCTTGAGTCTAATTCTAGTTGGATCGCTTGGGACATAAACCCGAGGAGCAAAGGCATGTTAGGCGCTCAAGCTCTCGTCGCCTATCGAAACTCAACATCTAGCGTTATGCGTGCTTATACTTCTTCCATTGATAGATATTCTACTATGTGATTCAAGAATCTCCTCTTAGCTTCCGTGTGACGCAAGCATCCGCTGAGTATCTTGACGGAGAGATGACAATATTCGCAACTCTAGTGTTGCCTCCTAACACAACCGTCGTGAATCACTCATGGCAATACGGCCCGTTGAAAGGAGGCGGTAGACTTGTGATGCACGCAATGAGTGGAGATCATCTCATTTCCATGGCTACTCTGGATTTGCTTTACGGACAAGTCACAGCCACAAAATCAATAAACGGAAACATGTTGTTGGTCAAGCAAATCCATGGATTGGTAAACACAGTGAGTTGGGGAATTCTCATGCCTATTGGATCGAGCTATGGCTGCAAGATACACGAAGACCTACGAAAGATTAGATCCCACTTGGTTTTATGTACACATAGTTTGTCAACTCACCGGTTATTGCGCCGGTTTATTGGGATGTCTTGGATATCTCACAAATATAAACATATCCGACTTTTTTCAATTTTTACACACATACAGAAAGACATTCAAAATTTGGTTGATAAATTCCTACGAGCTTTTTCGAAATATTATCAACTTCAAATCATACGAGCTTTTTTCGAAGATATTAGCAAATCATATTTATGAACTTTCACATGTTTGAAAAAAAAACAAAAAAAAAAAAATGTCTTTTATCAAAAAATATGTTCTTCAGCTCACGGATTTGGCAAAGCATATTTAGCACAACCGTATGAAAAATTCAATATTTTAAAGCTCCAACGAAACAAATCCGAGGAGAGTCAAAATGATACACTGTTGAAATCCTCAGCTACAGACTTTTAAAATTTCTTTTATAAAAGATGCAAAATTTGAAAAAAAAAAAGTTGTTTGGACCTTCAGATATGATCATCATAAGGTCGGTGGCGGAGCAGATCGGAGCAGATCGGAGCGACGGAAGTAGCGGTGGTAGAAGCAAGAAAAAGCGAGCGGCGAATTTGAAATTCAGATTGAAAACTATATAATAACGAAGGACATCATGATCCCCTCAGCGTAATTTGTTTCTTTCCACATAATTCTCCGCCGCTTCTAGCCTTACATACCTTCCACCCTCCGCCGCTAATCCGCCTTCCTGCACCCCCGCCACCGTCGCCTCAAGGTTGTTTGACAAGGGTCACTTATAGAGAGGTAGGGTTTTGTTCGGCCCTTTTCTGAATTTTTTGGGGGGGATAAATTGGGCCTTATGATTAAGCCCAATAATGTACTACCAGAATGCAAAAGCGGCGGTATGACTTAAAAAAATTGGAAAATTGGAAGATAAATTGGGCCTTGTGATTAAGCCCAATAAATTGGGCTTTTTCTTATGATTTTAGAGGAAATTTGGAAGTACGTATATGTTTTAGATTTTGGAAAATATATTCTTTTTATAAAAAAAATTGAAATTTTTTAATATTAAATACTAATTCACGAAAGTAATATTAGTACATTTTAAATAACATCATATATATATATATCTAAAACATTATTACAAAAAATACAAAAGTTTGAAAACAAAGAATATTAGAGAATTAATCCAACGTTCTTGTAGCACATGCAGGCCACTCGGCGTAATCCTTCAACATTCTCAAAAAATCAGAGAAATCAGATTTGAATCCTCCAAGTATACAGTTTATATAATCACATCAATCGTGTTTCCTGATTCATTTGAACCCACTAAATTTAGTAATACAAACCAATGCTAGCTTTCCCTTTGTGTCTCTTCTGCAACGTCTCTACAACTCTATTTCGCCTTATACACTGTCCAAATTCACAACCTTATTTTTTTCTAACTTCCAAAACATACTGTTTATTATCAATTCATGTACTATCAAGATAACAAAACACCTATGAGTCTATATTTTTCTATCAATAAATATTCGAGTTGACATCAAACTAAGCTTTAATATTCACATGTATAATTATTTAGTTATATTGGTTAGAAGATGAAATGAATGATCCAACGAGGCGACGACTTATACCGACATGAGTTTGACCATATGAAATCGAACATACTTGTGCCAAATGCCATTTTTTAATTTAAAAAAAAATGGTATGGCGGCTCATCGTTAATTAGGGTTTAAAGCCGTGTACATCTACTCGATTCGGAAAACAACGTTTCATTTATCATCTATATGCTGAAAAAACTCCAATATATCAACATAATCATAAATAATAACACCCACACGAACGAATCTATCAATCAACCTAGTTCACACAACTTGCAAGTTACAAGTTTCATTTATTCATTTAACAGGTGTTGTTTATCCACAGTGTGTGTAAAATATATATATGGCTAATGGCTCCAAAAGAAACTTAAGTTGCTTGGCTGATGGCTCTCTATAGCTTTGAAGCGACGCCATTACAAACTGGTCTCTTTCTTGGAAAAAAGCAAATGAGGCCCAAAGACTTTTAAGGGAGAAAACATTTCCTTTCGGTGGATGCTCTAGTCACAATTGCCCCCACTATATATCTCAACTTGTAAGTTGCAATATGCAATATTTTTTCAAGTATATACCATAATCATCTTCTTTATCATTAGATCGGTAGGGGTTTTATGCATTTTCAACGAACAAAATTATGTGATAACTGATAAGGATTCGAAACTCAAGTAATGCGATGAGGATTCGAAAATTTATGTGAGCAGAATTTGGGTGGACCATTGTTTGTGGTCCATGACAACCAGTCAAGACGGTCCACACGATAATATATATTTTTTTTTAATAAAGTCCACACGATAATATTATTACGCCGTTATAATTGCGTATTTAGGTTTATTACTATCCAATATTTCGTGATTATATGCAAATGAAAAATTGGTAACCAAGTTTTTTCCGTTAGTTACAAAAAAAAAATCACAACTTGAACTAGAAAAAGTCTTACGTATTATGGATACAGTCGGTTACACGTTTATATAACGCAAAAAGTTACGTATGATTACGAAGCTTTTAACAGTCAACATGTGAATTAAATGCGATGTGGAAAATGCCGGGTAACAAAAGATGATTTCTGGAATCATTTCATCTCGGTTATAGTGAGAGACTGACAGAAAAAATGAATTCAGAACATTATAAACCCTTTATTATATAGTATTCAATTTCCTAATAGATGACAAACTCATAAGCATCGTAGAAATTATCAGCTTTGATTTGGAATATATTGTATACTATTGGCTGAAAGAAACAGATGGGGTGTGAAATTTGACAAAAACACCCTTAATCATTGGTCAAGAGTGTTCAGATAAGGTACAGATCAGAAAACCACCTCTAGAAATCGAGCAATAGATCGCTCCCTTACACAGACAAAAGATCCAACGGAGGTGGTGGGTCCCATTAACTCTCTGACAACTCGCCACGTGTCGCTCATCCTGATCTGTTTAAGCACTATTGCCCCCACCGAATCATTTTCCCCTCTCGCTTGCTCGCTGTAATTTCTCTGACTCCCTTTCTCTCTCTCGTCGCTTTCTGTCTGAACCTGGCAAGAACCTCTCTCTCTCTCTCTCTCCATCTCTGTTCTGTTTCAACTTTCATCTCTCAGTTTTTCAATAACTGATTATATAGAGAGAGAGAGAGAGAAAACCGAGTGAGTCAGGAGAGAGAATCTTCTCTTCTTCATTTTTTTTTTCCTCTCCCAGCTCTATTCTGTTACGTGTGTGTGTGTAGCAGAAAAACAGATATAGCTAAAATCTTCTCATCATTCAGACGCTTCTAAATCTGGTAACTACTTTAAGGTTTTGGTTTTTAAGTGTGTACTATATATGGAACTAGTTACTTTTTTTTGCCTTATTATATCATTTCCTCCTGGGTTGCTGGAGAGAGAGGATTTGTTTATTCCTAATTATTTGTTCTCAATCTTTTCTATAAACTGTTGGGATTTGGAATAATCTTTCGAAGTTGATTGCTTTCATCATCCTTTTATATGCTCCTCGTGTTAAAATGCTCCTCTTAATCATTATCTTATTTTTATATATATTAAATCATTAGTTATTTTATTCACTTACACAAAAAGTATTGTTTTCTTATTCACCTGTACAGATCAGACATGGAACAACTGTTTCCTGATTGGAATTTTGAAGATAATTTTCACATGTCCACCAATAAAAGATCAATCAGGTATATATAATCCCAGACAAATATTTTATAATTTATCAGTTCTCACTTTCAATGATAATCACTTAAGCTGTATCGTTTATGTGTGTATGTATGTGTTTATTTCATGTTTTTGACAGACCAGAAGATGAACTAGTGGAGCTATTATGGAGAGATGGTCAAGTGGTTTTACAAAGCCAGGCTCGTAGAGAACCATCAGTCCAAGTCCAAACTCAAAAACATGATCAAACCCTACGAAAACCCAACAATACGTTTCTTGACAACCGAGAAACAGTACGAAAACCTAACAACACCACTGTTCTTGAAGATCAAGAAACCGTCTCATGGATCCAATACCCTCCTGAAGACGTAGTCGATCCCTTCGAATCCGAGTTCTCCTCCCATTTCTTCACTTCGATCGATCACCTCGATGGTCAAGAGAAGCCGCGGGCGACGGAAGAGACGGTTAAGAACGAGGCTCAAAAAGTCATGGCTCCTCCTAAGTTTAGGTCCTCAGTTTTAACCGTCGGACCAAGCCACTGCGCGAGCAACCAGTCTACGAACGATCATCAAGTGACTACACTTCCAGTTTCTATGAGTGAAAGAAGCAAGAACGTCGAAGAAAGACTTGATACTTCGTCGGGTGGCTCGTCCGGCTGCAGCTACGGAATGAACAGCAAAGAAACCGGCAGTGGAAGAAGCGTAACCATTGACCGTAAAAGAAAACATGTAATGGACACTGATCAGGAATCTGTGTCTCAATCTGATGTACGTTTGATGTCAACTGATGATCAAGCCATGGGTAACAAATCGAGCCAACGGTCAGGATCTACCCGAAGAAGCCGTGCGGCTGAAGTTCATAATCTCTCAGAAAGGGTACATACTTCTTAATGGCTCTACTGCTTTTTAGCAACGAATCTTTTAATTTTAATATGAAAATTTTGATTAGAGTTTCAAAATTCTGCTATTTTTGTGTGTGATCGTGGTTTATTATTATAGAGGAGGAGAGATCGGATCAATGAGAGAATGAAAGCTCTTCAAGAACTCATACCTCACTGTAGTAAAGTAAGTCATTCTAAGACCACACATAGATAAATCGAGTGAATTAAGTTTGAAATTATAACGATAGAAATTGATTAATATTGGTGTGTTAATGTGTACAGACAGATAAAGCTTCGATTTTGGATGAAGCCATTGATTACTTGAAATCACTTCAAATGCAACTCCAAGTGATGTGGATGGGAAGTGGAATGGCGGCGGCGGCTGCAGCCGCAGCGACTCCGATGATGTTTCCCGGCGTACAGTCATCTCCGTACATTAACCAGATGGCTATGCAGAGTCAGATGCAATTGCCTCAATTCCCGGTTATGAACCGGTCAGCTGCACAGAACCATCCCGGTTTAGTATGTCAAAATCCGGTACAGTTGCAGATGCAAGCACAGAACCAAATCTTATCGGAGCAGCTCGCGAGGTACATGGGCGGGTTTCCACAGATGCCGGCGGCGACGACTCAGGTCAGTGTAAAACCGGTCGTTTTGTGGAGAGAGACAGAGAGAAGTTGTAGTTTGATTTGTTATCTGACGTGTCGTGTTTTTCATTAAATGCAGACGCAGGCGGTGCAACAGCCAATGGACGTTTTAAGATTTGGGTCTCCGGTGGGACAGCAAAGTCAACTGTCGGCGCCGGTTACCACCGACAGTCTTCGTATGGGTAAATTAGGCTAAAGCGGTGGCATAATGTTTCTTCTCTTCTCCGATATTGTTATTCTCGGTGATTATTATCTATTTTTGGAGGCACAAACATGAAATTTAAGAAATGTATCATATAGACATAATAATGTAGTACCATACTTATAACTTATTTAAAACAGTTAAATGATACTCATTTTTAGGTGTTGAATAAGCGCATCATCATAAAGATTAATATGATTCCAAAAAGGCTTAGTTGGGCCTCGAACGACATTCTCACGGGCTTTGCTAACGCGATAAAGGAACACCGGAAACGCTAACGTGATCTTTTACCAAACTCGATTAGGCAGGTCTCGCCAAAATTTATCCTCCTGGACACGTGTCTTACAACAACCGCGAGTTTAGCTTAAGTATATACTCGAGCGTGTAGGAGTTCTATCCTAATCGAAAGCAAAGAAAATAAAAAGTATACAATTAAATAATCCAACCAATAACCTTTGTACACCTCAGCAATCACAAACAATCACGATTAATATAAAAAAAAGCTACGAGTTCTTCTTTTTAACATCTCTCCCTCTCCCTTTGCCTCTGTGATATTTTTTTGTTGTGTCATTGTTTCGCTTCAACTGAGCATTGGAATCTGATCGTCGTCGATATAATTCGGAAGATAAGAGGAATCGCATGAATTTGTTTGGAAGACTGGGTTCTACGTCGTCGATTTCAAGCTACTTCTATACGACGTGTCTTCTGATCTCGATCCTTAGTTTTTCTCCTCAATTGCCGATTTCGCTCTTTCTTTTCGAGCAGAAATCGTTAGATCCTTTATCGCCCAACAGTAGCTGTAAATTCAATAAAATCCAGAGTGATTAATCTCGGAGCATTGTTGATTCATGGAGTCGGAAGGCAAAACTGATCGTCAGCTGAATAAAGGTATTATCATACTTTTAATCCTCGTGTGATTAAGATGTCTGTGAAGAATTTTAGGTTTTGTTTGATTCCTACTTGATGAATATTAACAATTATCTACAAAAGTAGGATTTTTGTTGTCCTCAATTTGTGCCCTTGTGTGGCGATGTTTTCTTTTGGGGATTGTTTGGTTTAGATTACTCTGTTGTGCTCTGTAAGAATTTTTCATGGGTGTTTCCAGCTGTTTCCGTCTCAACCGGCGAGAGGATGAAGAAGAGAACACCTTCAGTGATAGTGATTGGAGCTGGTATGGCTGGGATTTCGGCCGCTCGCACTCTTCAAGATGCTTCCTTTCAGGTCTGTAACACGAACAATGCAATCTTTAGATTACAATCTTGTGAGGAGAATGAACTATAACTACATGATTATACCAAAATCAGGGTCTTATTAGTTGTGTTTTTTCTGCTTTTTAGGTTGTGGTATTGGAGTCCCGAGACAGAATTGGTGGAAGAGTTCACACCGATTACTCATTCGGGTTTCCTGTTGATTTAGGTGCATCTTGGTAAAATCATGAGTCTTTGAACCTTTCTTTCTCATTGTTCGATGTTTGGATATTTTTCTATCGATGATGCTAACTAAGCTACATTGTTTTTTTGTGACAAGGTTGCATGGTGTCTGTAAAGAGAATCCTCTGGCTGCAATTATTGGGAGATTAGGTTTGCCCCTTTATCGTACTAGCGGTGACAATTCGGTCTTGTATGATCACGATCTTGAGAGGTATATGTACAAACAGATGTAAATCTTAATTGGTCCCCTCTCTTTCATTAGACTGACGGTGAATTTCTGTTTTTCTGCAGTTATGCTCTATTCGATAAAGCTGGTAACCAAGTTCCTCAGGAGTTGGTAACAAAGGTTGGCGAAAATTTTGAGCACATTCTAGAAGAGGTGCGTGCTTGGTGTCCACTTTCTCTTTTATTCTGTTTCTAGATTCTGCGTGCCTTTGATTTACCAGATGTACTTGTTTTTGTCTCACAAGTGCAGATCTGTAAAGTCCGGGATGAGCAGGTTGAAGACATGTCAATAGCTCAAGCCTTTTCTATTGTTTTCAAGAGATCACCTGAACTGAGGTATTGAAACATATTGTGTCAACTCAATGCTTTGATTTTTTTGTTAGTTACTTGCTGTGTGCTCAAATTAGTTTTGATCACTTCCAGGTTGGAGGGGCTTGCCCATAATGTGCTTCAGTGGTACTTGTGCCGCATGGAAGGATGGTTTGCTGCTGATGCTGAAACCATCTCGGCAAAGTGTTGGGACCAGGTTCGTTACTAAACTTCCTTCGGTCATCGGTTTAGTGGTTGAGGTATGTTTCAGGTTTCTTGATATGTCAGTTAAAACATTCGCAGGAAGAACTGTTGCCTGGTGGACATGGTCTTATGGTTAGAGGGTATCGTCCTGTCATCAACACTCTTTCGAAAGGACTTGATATTCGACTAAACCACAGGTAAAGATTCGTTTGTCAAAAGAAGGTTTCCCACCATTTTCCTGAGCCTGCAGCTAAAACCTTTTGTTGCGCTTTTGTTTTTGTCAGGGTCACCAAGATTGCCAGGCGCTACAAAGGAGTGAAGGTGACTACCGAGAAAGGAGACACGTTTGTTGCGGATGCTGCAGTCATTGCTCTTCCTCTTGGAGTCCTGAAGTCAGGGATGGTTGAATTCGAGCCAAAGCTTCCAGAGTGGAAACAGGAAGCTATCAACGATCTTGGTGTGGGAATCGAGAACAAGATCATCCTGAACTTTGACAATGTGTTTTGGCCAAACGTGGAGTTTCTAGGAGTGGTTGCGGAAACCTCCTACGGGTGCAGTTATTTCTTGAACCTGCATAAAGCCACAAGCCATCCTGTCCTTGTCTACATGCCGGCTGGTCAGCTGGCTAGAGACATTGAGAAAATGTCTGACGAATCAGCTGCCAATTTTGCTTTTTCGCAACTCCAGAAAATTCTTCCTGATGCATCTTCACCGGTACTGCCCTAACTGATCTATCTTTCCCAAGTCTCTCTCTCTATATAATGTTTGCCAATAATGTTTTAAGCTATAATGGGTTTTGTTGGCAGATACATTATTTGGTATCAAGGTGGGGATCAGACATCAATTCATTGGGATCATATAGCTATGACATTGTGAACAAACCTCACGACCTCTACGAGAGGCTGAGAGTTCCTCTGGACAATCTATTCTTTGCTGGGGAAGCTACGAGCTCGAGCTTTCCGGGATCAGTGCACGGTGCTTATTCAACCGGGTTGCTGGCTGCTGAAGACTGCAGAATGCGTGTGCTTGAGCGCTATGGAGAGCTTGAACATGAGATTGAAGAGGAAGCTCCTGCCTCTGTCCCTCTTCTCATCTCCCGTATGTAATTTTTAACCTCAGGTTTTGGCTTTCCGTTTTCTTATGGGAACATCGATAGATTTGATTTGATATTTAAGATTTAATGTGATATAACTTGAAAAGTTTATGAGACTTCATCAAGTCAAACTCTTGTACGTGTCAATACCACTCTTTTTTACTTGAAGCCTGGTTAGTCTAACTCTAAACCAACTGTGCAATGTGGATTTTGTAAATCCATCTGATCCAAGAACATTGTAATACAAAACAAAAACATCAAATAAAGGCTCCTTCTTCTTACAGCTAAGATCACACCGATGAAAATCAAAGACAAAAATTCAAACTTTTATTCATCTTTCTCTCGGTTTCTACAAAATATTTCCATACAGTCATTACCCTTACACAATTCGAGACTACAAGAGTCCTCTTTGTTCTTCTTCACATCAGCAACATTACTGAGGCAGAGCAGTCATAACCTGAGTAAATATCAAGTGCCTCCAGGGGTAATTATGTCAATTACCATAGGAAAACCCGCCTCCAGTTTTGGGTATAATTTCATTCAACTGGATTAAAATGTTGAGTTAAAAAGGTTTTAATGGCTCCAGAAAAACAAAAATAAAAATATCCACTTTGAAGTTTTACATTTTAAGGATAAGAGAAGAAAAGAACTTCTTCTTCATCTTCTTCCTCTTGGCTGCTGCGACAGAGGAGAAGCTGCGAACTTTAGATGTCACAGACTGTAATTTTCAAACCGTTTGTCTCTGTTCCATCAAGTAATCACAGGTTTCCTTTTCTCTTTCCTATCTATCTTTTAGTTCTTTACTTTCTGGAACAACTCTCATTTTGGGGACTTGCTTTTGTTCTAGAATTTCTTTCGTTTTCCATTGACGGGTTGGGACAATTCTATGAGAAAAAGGGACCGCCTTTCCGAATTTCTTCGAAAGACCGCACTGGGTTTCATTTAATTTAATCGATTGCGTAAGCTTAAGCTGTATCCTTAAGGGGTTTATTGTCTGAAGGTTATATCAAATTAGCGACTATTAGGGTTTATGTTTTTTTACCTCAAGTCAGATACTTTCTAAGCTATTAGAAGTTATAGTTACTAAGACTCTGTGTGTTTATCTTTGTGCCAGCCAGAGGAAAGTACAGAACAATATCATCAATGTTGGTGTTAAAATCCAAAACCGATTCAGAGTTGTTTGTATGGGAATGCTGGCCCCAAGAAAATTCCTGCAAAAGAGGAGGAAAGTAGAGGTTTTTAAAGATGCAGCAGACGCTGCGGATCAGAAGAGATGGAGAGGGCTAATGTTAGAGATTGAATCGACGGGTTCTGCAGTTTCGGTCCTTAGGCAATACAGAACTGACGGTGACCAAGGTCTCCCGAGGGATCTTGTTTTGGGTACTCTGGTCAGATTCAAGCAGCTAAAGAAGTGGAACCTTGTCAGTGAGGTATGTATTGAGTCCCTTTTAATGTTTTGATCCTTTCAGATACTGGATAACTGAATTAGAATCTTCCAATGTTTGATTGGCTGAACGAAATTCGTGAAGTTATCTTGAATCTTGATGAGGTATTAGATGAGCCATCGTAATCTACTGTTGATGATTTCAATATTGGTGCTGCTTAAAGTTGTGTTTATTGTTATTCTATACCTGAAGAATTTCTCTTACCGTATGCAAAAAAAATGTGATTACTCCCAGCAATGTAAGCTCTCAGTTGTATCTGATATTTGGTTCCTTCTTTCTCTTTTGATTTCCAGATTCTTGAATGGCTTAGATACCAAAACTGGTGGAACTTCAGTGAAATGGATTTTCTGATGCTCATTACAGCTTATGGGAAACTAGGAAACTTCAATGGAGCTGAAAGGGTTTTGAGCGTACTGAGTAAGATGGGTTCAAGTCCAAACGTGATTTCTTATACCGCTCTCATGGAGTCTTATGGAAGAGGAGGCAAGTGCAACAACGCTGAAGCGATATTTCGGAGGATGCAGTCTTCAGGCCCTGAGCCTTCTGCTGTAACTTATCAGATTATACTCAAGACTTTTGTGGAGGGGAACAAGTTTAAAGAAGCTGAGGAGGTTTTTGAGACTCTCTTAGATGAGCAGAGATCACCACTGAAGCCGGATCAAAAGATGTACCACATGATGATATACATGTACAAGAAGGCTGGAAACTATGATAAGGCACGAAAAGTATTTGCTTCAATGGCGGAGAAAAGAGTTCCACAATCTACCGTCACTTACAATAGCCTTATGTCCTTCGAAACTAATTACAAAGAAGTTTCTAAGATCTACGACCAGGTGATCTGAATGATCCTTTTTTTGAAGTAATTATTAAGATGTGTCGTGGCCAGTAATAGTAGTGATCTAATCCTTTTTAGCTAATATTTAACTTTTCAGATGCAAAGATCTGGTATTCGACCTGACGTTGTCAGTTATGCTTTACTTATCAAAGCATATGGAAGAGCCAGAAGAGAGGAAGAAGCTCTCTCTGTTTTTGAAGAGATGCTTGATGCTGGTGTAAGGTCAGTTTTCAGATTTCGATGTTTTTTGGCTTCCAACAACTATTTTTTTTGCTGCTATGGTTGAAGATATTACGAAGTAGAGCTCTATTTTGGATATTTTATGATCGAATTTAGTCGTTTTTCAGGCCGACGCATAAAGCTTATAACATTTTGCTTGATGCATTCGCTATTTCTGGAATGGTGGATCAAGCAAAGACCGTTTTTCAAAGCATGCGACGTGACAGGTAAAGAATAATTCTATCATGTGAACTGTGTTGCTTCTCTGTTTTAGATTGGTAACAAAACATAATTCCCTTTGCAGATTTTTCCCGGATCTCTGGTCTTACACAACTATGTTATCAGCGTATGTGAATGCTTCGGACATGGAGGGTGCTGAGAAATTCTTCAAGAGGATAAAGGTAGATGGTTTTGAGCCGAATATAGTCACCTATGGGACAATGATAAAAGGCTATGCGAAAGCAAACGATCTTGATAAAATTATGGAGGTATATGAGAAAATGAGGTTAAGTGGCATCAAAGCGAATCAAACCATCATAACGACTATCATGGATGCGTCTGGGAGGTGCAAGGATTTCGGGAGCGCTCTTAGTTGGTACAAGGAGATGGAGAGTTGTGGGGTACCACCTGATCAGAAAGCGAAGAATGTGCTTTTGTCATTGGCTTCAACTCAAGATGAGCTAGAGGAAGCTAAAGAACTTACTGGTCTCAGAGATGAGACTACAACCATCATTGCTGGAGTCTACAGATCTGATGATGATGATGATGATGATGATGATGTCGATGTGAGTAGTGATGATGAGGATGAGGATGAGGATGAGGAGGACTATGAAGGAGATGGTGATGATGATGCAAGAGAAACTGTGTTGTATGATAAAACACAAGAAAAGTCTTTGGCTTATGTTAGCTCACAGACGGAAAAACTTGTGGGGTTATGAAAACAACGAGAAAGTTTTGATTTTTGTAATCATCTAAAGGCAGAAGAAAGATTTTGCAGAAGAGGATTAAGTAGTTTGTCCATTATTTTTTGTCTGTAGTTTAACGAAATGAAATATGTTACTGAATCCTAATAAACAGAAGGTATTTATTTCATATCTCTTGCCAACAAAAGAGAGGAGAAAAGAACAGAGTTGCTGTTAGATTCCTTCGGTAGCCATTTCTTGACTCTCATTTGCTGAAGCTTTTAACCTATGAGCTGCATTCTCCACCTGTAAGAGATGCAGAGTAAAGGTAAGGACTTTGGAGTATTTAGAGAAAAAAAGAGAGATTTGGTGATTGTTTTACCTCGGAATTCCAGTTAGTTCTGAGTGTAAGAACAATCAAAGTTAGGGTTTGAAGTATAACTCCTGCAATCATCCCCCACCAGATCCCCTGTAATGAAATACCTCCCATCTCTTATGATGCATACAATACATATAAACACAAAGAAAGAGTAAAAGAGATTATACCGCAACTCCAAGACTGGTTTTGAAGCCAAGAACACAGCCAATAGGAAGACCAATGACATAGTAAGTAACAAGATTCACATAAGCCACCACTGCTTGCCACCCACTTCCAATGGCAACACCTTTGAATCCATAGAGCAAAGATCAATCAACAAACCAAAATTCACAAAAGAGCCTCTTTTTCTTGTGTGTGTTTTTACCAGAGAGAATTGGTTGGATTCCGTTTAAGAAAATGGAAACGGCGAGCAGGGGAAAGAGATCAGAGACTGCAGCTATAACCTCTGCGTCGCTGGTGAAGGCTTTACTAAGGCCAATGCGGAACACGAGCACAACGACACAGAGGAATAAGCTGATGACAACCGTCGTGATGTTAACCACTACCACTGATAACTTAGCCACTCGTGGGTTTCCCGCTCCTAGCTCGTTGCTCACTCGGACACTAACACAAAACACACAAAAACGGCACGGTTTTTGCAAATGGATCATTTAAATTAAAAACTACATGCCATTTTTAATTTTGTTTTGTTACGTGATTGCCGCACTTAGACCAAGCATGAACTGCATATCCCAATTCCAGTAATACATGCTGCAAAATCACTTAACCGGGTTAAGACGTAACCGTTGAGGTTCGTCGGCATATGATAAATCTCGGGTGAAAGGAGTACCAAATCGAAATTGCGTCTAGGGCAATTGTGGGATTGGTGAGTAAACCGGAAATAATCACTAGCCCTTGGACGTACCATATCTCCAAACTGCAGATATTTCATTTTAAATTGGTATATATCAGCTTTCTTCAAACCATAAATTTTAACCGGTCAAATCATACAGATTTGTGTTTAGATTAAAGACATTTACCATAGCATGACTGCTGAAGCTATCGTGAGCTTGAAGTAAGGCCAAATCCCTCTTAAAGCCCTAGCTGAGAACCCGGTCCAAGTTTCCTTGCAACTCGGGCTCATCACGATATACAGACCATTCACAGCCGCGAGAAGCCACCACGAAAAACTCAGCACCAGAGCTGCACCGAGCAAGCCGAAATGCAGGACGTTGGTTACCAGCCAGGTTAGTA